GGCGTTTGCCTATATTTCCTTTAATAAATTTGACTTGACTTGACTTGACATTAAGATACGTCATCAAGGCGTTTAACTATGTATTTTCAGAGAACCTAAAATTTAATTTTGCCTTCACCGCCATTGTGAAAAGTCTCATTGGTTTTGGAGACGGAAGCGAAGCGGGATGCAAATCAGCCGCAAAGTGGATTTTTTCCCCAGACTGTTAACAACAACGGCTACAAATTTAAGGTAATAAAGGGTTTTTTGGGGATGAGGTCGTGCGTGGCACGCGTAGACAGACTGATTAGTTCTGTCAGCTACTGCTCTTGATTTCGTCTACGATTGGGCCGTCTTTGCATCATCATCAGAGCCAGGTAGGTGGGGTGAGACGAGAGTGAAAGTGAGGTAGCTACTACTTACAGTAAATTGCCTACTACATTAAGTATGCTCAGATATAACCTGACCTAAGTTCTAGCATAGGAATTTGAACTGCATCAGACTTTTACATTTTTGTCGTTTTTCGTCCCGCTTGCTTTCGTGGGGCAACAGCAGGCTGCAGGTAAACTTTTTGCTTCCTGTAAAGAGGCAACATTTATGTAGATTGGTTCAAAAAGTCCAAAGTCTGATTTTTAATCCTGTTGGGTGATTTGAAGCACGTTTGATGGCTGTCAAGCTACTAAAAATAAAAGAAAAGGTTCCCCAAACTGGAATGAAATGTCAGAGGCTGCGGCGAAAAGGAGAGACAGGACAAGAGGATAATACCAATTGGTTCCGCTGGCGCTGAATATATCGAAATTGCATTGCGCAAAACAGAAGGCTGGCTTCTTTTCAAATGCATTTTATGACTAATTGTTCCTCGAACAGTCTATTTGTGTTGTTGACGTGACTGTTAATCTGATCATCTGTTTATCGCTACTTCACCCAACGCCACACCAAGAACTACAAGTGCTCACTGATCGCTCAGGTCAAAAAAAGACTTAGTCAACAAAAATGCTGATAAATTAATCGATTTCTTCATCTTGCATGCCCAAACGTGACGCAGATGACTCCTTATTGCTTATTCAGGCGAAAATGCAAGTCCCAGTAAGTAAGGAAGAATAGGTAGATGTGGTCGTTGGGATAAGAATATTATTCGTCTGACGATTCGAAATCCCTTGCGGATCCATAATCACCGCTATTGTCTCTAATGATGGATTAGCGACGGAATCCGAAACGTCAGGCGAATAAAACTCTTGTCCCAATGATCACATCTGCTTCTTGCGGACCCCTATTGTGTATTTTCATTAAAATTTCAAGGCTAGCAAAAACAGTTATTGCATTACCTACATTTCCAAGACAGTAAATAATCAGTTTTACATTTACTTCACATTACATCCTCTTTGCATTAAGTCTTGGTTACTTGATTAGACTCGCCTGAACAGAATACTGGGATAGGGAGACCCCGCGCACTTAGAATATGAGGTTTTGCGGAAAGTTTCAGCAACGATTAATTGTTCTTGTATCTTAACCCGAAAAGACAACTTAACTAAACTCTAACCCTAGTCTTAACTCTAGCGCTACCCCACAGTCAACACGAATCGAAACCCTTACCCT